TCCGGAAGAGACTAAGGCAGGGTTGTAATGAGGAAACAGTTCTGGATAGCATTCTCCAAGTATGACCATTCCTTAAAGAAGAAAAACGAGTATTTACCCACACCAATCCTCTTCATTCACGTATCCTTGAAGCATCACAGCAACCCCAGCTAGGAAGGACCAATAGCCTTGACAATATTTTCCACTGGACAAATCTAAGATTTGGCCATATTAACTGATTTCCCCAGAGTCACTTGGTCAATGGCAGGAGTTTTGACTTCAGATTTACTTCTCTTTCCATGATAGCGTGCTGCCTGCCTCTTGGGGAATGCACTATAAGTTGAGCCATGCTTTTAGGAAAATTATGATCTGATATACAGCAGAAGGTCATGGACACCATGTCCTTGAAGCCATGTGGTAGCAGCCTTAACTACAGTGGAAGGAGCCACTCTGCCTGATTAGGATCTCACCAGCATGTCTATAGCTGGAGATAAGAAGTTTTCTACCCTAGATTTTATTGGCACCATTTGTATCCCGTTAAATAAATTATTTTATGTGAATATAGCCCTTACTAGATGGTAATTTCAAAAGTAAACCAAATTTGAATGGAATCATTTAACTTTTGAAGTTAGGAAATATTTTTACATGTATTGAGTTGTGCTGATAGCTGAGTGTCACATCTCTCTGTTGAAGCTTTGTAAAACATTTTGCAGGGACAGGTGTGGCTCTGGTCAATACCCAGGCTACTCCCACAGAACAGTGTTATGTGGGTGAAAGTATACCCACCTGAAAACCAGGAGACCTGCCACCAGAGTCACCTGAGCAGTCATTTCACCTATGTCTTGGTTTCCTCATCCCTGTAAAGTCTCTTTCAGTCCCAAATGCAGCTGGAGAAAGGGTTCAATCTAGTAAATGCTTCAGCCTTTGTTCTGTAAAGCAAAAATGAGTTAATCCATGAAAAACGCTTACAGCAGTGTCTGTCTGCATGTGGTAGTTGCCTTATAAATATTAGCCATTAGAATAATCATTATCATTATGCCAAGAGCACTAAAACCATGGCAGTGTAGAGCTGAATTTAAAGACTTAGTTTGGGATGGAGCCAGAATGAGAACCCAAGGGCTCAGATTTCCAGTTTGGGGCTCTTTGACTTCTTGCTTCCTCTGAAGGTTCTCAGGATTCCTCAGGGAATTGTGTATGGCTCACTTATCTCTGCTGACACTGGAATAAAGGACAGAGTCTTCACTGCGTAATGTCACACAAATTTATTGATAATCTGGGCCAGGATTAAAAAGATGATATTGCTAAGAGAAACAGTTCTAGGTAGCAGATGTTGTAAGTGGTTAAATAGTTCACCTTAACAGAGTTCCTAGGGGAGAGTGGGGGTGTGCTCTGTCCGAATTGTTTATAAGAGGGGGCTCCATACGGATGATACTGGAGTGAAACCTGGAAGGACAATTAGGATTGTCGAGACAGGGATGAGCAGGAAGACATCAGGCCAAGGAAGCTGCTTGGGCTGCAGTGTGGAGCCTCAAATGCCTGGCACATTGGGGTCATGTGTGATTTGTGTAGCAGGGGCATGGGGAGTGTGCGCGAGTGAAGTGGCAGGTGATAAAGCCAGAAAGGTGGGCTGGGGCAGATTCTGCAGGGCCTGCTATGCCAAGCCAGGAAGCATAGACGTCCTCCCACTGGGCTGCAGCATCCCAGCTGTGTCCAGAAGCGCTCCAGGATTCCCCCAGAGCTGCATTGGGCCCAGCGGGGCAGGGCTGGAGGACTTTAGGGCAGGCTCTGAGGCCTCTGTCCTTGCTTTACCCAGGGCAGCTTAGACTTTATCTGTTTTATATCTTGGGGCTCCTTGTAACACTTCACTGAAAAAATCTGGGCTTCTCCTATTTCAATCCTTTTTTATGAGAGTTGAAATCCACTGTGTAGATCACAGCAAGGAGTCAAGAAAAGCCTTGGAACCAGGAAAGTAACCCAATGGGATCTAGATTTTAGAAAGTTCATCCTGGCAGCAGCATGCATGATCAATTAGTAGGCTGGTTCAGCAGTCTGGGTGGGCAACAAGGAAACATAAACCAGGGCAATAGCCATGGGACAAGAAAGGATGGATTAGAGAAACAGGTCAGAGTTTGAGGGTTCCTGGCATTGGGATGCTTTAATATGGAGAAGAAGAGTTTCTAAACCAAGTGGTAGTGATAGCAGATCTCCAGTCTAGGTGATCTTGAAGACAACAATCTTGGAAATTTGGTAAAAGAAGTTGTAATAACAAGTGAACCCCACACAGAACAGCAAATAGAATGTCTGGAGTAAACCACCAAAACTTGAAAGAGAAACCTTTTCCTTTGAGGGGCCTGGTGGGGAAGCTCCAAGCCTTGGCACATTGTCACAGAGCCAAGAAAATCTTCCTCACCTGCATCTGTAGCATCTTAAGGAGACCCCTCAGAGGATCCCAGGCTGGAAGCTACAGTCAGCTCCTTCCTGGGGTAGATGAAAGAGATGTTTTGCAAATGCTACACTGCCAAGCATTCCCTTGATACTAAGAACAATCATTTTTATTTGGCAGAAAAAAAAAATCCTCAATGTATTTCGCTGGATGCCTTAGAATGTGAGCCTTCTGCCAAATGAAGACCTGGGCCTCCTAATTTGTTGGAGACTTAGAAAACATGGCAAAATGTGCTCTCACCCGACAATTTAAATTCATCTGTGGAATTGAAATGCGTTCCATGCCCTTCCTCAGAACAGATTGTTAGTTGTTGTGGTGACTTCAAATTTGATCTCTTAGCAGAGCGTCTAATTCTTGGATGGGTCAAATGGGAGAAAAAAGCTGTAGCTACTCTGTCTAATATGGCAGCCCATACTCACACATGGGATGTGCCCTTGAGCATGAATAATTTGAATTGATGTGTGCTGTAAGTATAAAATACACACTGGATCTCAAAAGCAGTATGAAAAAATGTAAAATATCGCAATACTTATTTTATATTGGTTACATGTTGATAGTATTTTGAACCCATTAGACTAGGTTAAATGTATTATTGAAATTAATTTCATATTTCTTGTTACTTATATTAAAGGGGCTACTAATAAAAATTGCACAGGTGCGTATGCAATAGATATCACAGTATATGTCCTTTGGACAGAGCTGCTGTAGATTAATTGAGGTTCCCCAATATTCATGTAGTAAGCAAAAGTTATTAACATTTAGGTAATTTTTATTCTATATAAATGTATTGCTTTGAAACCACCTTTACTAACAGGATAATATTTATGTGGAAAGTTTTTTTTTTCCTTAATGGCTGGATGATAGGGTAAATTATTAATTTCCTTTTTGTTTTGTTTTTGAGACAGTCTCAAAGTGGCGCAATCTCGGCCCACTGCAACCTCCGCCTCCCAGGTTCAAGTGATTCTCCTGCCTCAGCCTCCCAAGAAGCTGAGACTATAGGCGTGCACCACCATGCCCAGGTAATTTTTGTATTTTTAGTAAAGATGGGTTTTCATCATGTTGGCCAGGCTGGTCTCGAACTCCTGACCTCATGTGATCTGCCCACCTTGACCTTCCAAAGTGCTGAGATTACAGGCATGAGCCACCGTGTCTGGCCCGTTTTCTTTCTCTCTCTCTCTCTCCCCCTCCTTTTTTTTTTAGACAGAGTCTCACTCTGTCACCAGGTGGGAGTGCAGTGGTGTGATCTCAGCTCACTGCAGCTTCGACCTCCCAGACTCAAGTGATCCTCCCACTTCAACCTCTTGAGTAGCTAGGACTATAGGCATGCAGCACCATGCCCGGCTAATTGTTGTATTTTTTGTAGAGATGGGGTTTCACCATGTTGTCCAGGCTGCTCTCAAACTCCCAGGCTCAAGTGATCCACCTGCCTCAGCCTCCCAAAGTGCTTGGATTACAAGCATGAGCTACCGCACCCAGCAATTATTAATTTTCAAAAATCAATTTTGCAGTACAATTTAACAGGATTTCTGTTATTTTATGCCCCACCTCCACTTTTTCCTCACTACACAGGAAAACATTCCCCTAAGTAACAGTATCTGAGAATACATTACAGGACCACTCTCTACATGAGCCTACGAGATATGGACTCGTTAAAAATATCAGACCTGCAAAACTGTAAAAACAAAACAAAAAAAAGTATGCAAACACCCAGGGCAAGAAATGAAAAACTCATGCTAATGTAGTGCTAAGAGTGAAAATTGTAGCCTATAAACTTCTTTTTTAAAAAAAGAAAATAGTGGGATAAGGGCCTAGAAATAGGAAAGTTGTTACCATGGAAACAATCACTTACCCACAATGCAAATATTCCATGTGTATGAGAGGTTATATGTATAAAAATGATGGCAGATACATATTGAGCGGGTGTTAGAGCACTGCTCAAAGTGCTTTATGTGCAAACCCAACCACAACTATGCGAAGTAGGAACTGTTCTTTCTGAGCCAACTGTTCTTTCTAAGAGAGAACTGCTCAAGATCACGAAATTAGTCGGCAGTGGAGTCAGGATCGGACCCCGGTCCCTCACCCCAACCTCACACCGGATGGCCTTCTGTGCTAGGACTGCATAATTATAGCCAGAGAAAATCACGTGTAGCCTGGAGAGCAGAAGAGTATTTTAAATACTTCTAGTTTTGCTGCATCTTAGGATTTTAATATTTTTCACATTTGTAACCTTCATGCAATTAAAAGCAGGAGATGATAATTAACCAATTCTTATGAAGAAGGGAAGAACTCGAAATAAGTATGCTTAGAGTTGACAGTGAGTTCAATTCCACAGGGAGATAACAGGACTGAGCTGCAGTTACTGGATCACTTAACACTGACACAGAAACACAAAACGGTGTGATAAAGTTGCTGATTTTTGAAATGTTATTACAAATAGTTTGTAGTGTTAAAACATAGGAAGACATTGACCCAGTGGAAACTTGAGGAAAGAGTCTCACTTAATAACGTATCCAATTTGGAGTTCTTTAATCCTCAGCATCACATAGGCATTACATTGAATAATTTCATTTTTTATTTTAAAGAATGTGTTTTGTTGAAACTTTAAAAAAAATGTGTGAGGGTTTTAAAGTTCCATTTAAAAAATTTTTTTCTGTTTTTGCTAAAATTGAGCATGAAGTTTTCAACCTTAAATGAAATTTGTTTTTCAGAAAGCTAGAAGTAAGGGAAGATAGCACTGCAATAGAAGTCTGGTGATGGATGATTTGCCGTGATTGCTGACTGTGCATGTATTGTAATATGCCATGCATTGTGAATCCTTGGCTGACGTTAGGTAAGGCAGGGCACCCTCAGCCCACTTAAATTCCAACCTCTGCATCGACCAGTTTTATTATACTATGAAAGAATTTTCAGTGCGCAACTCATAGTGTTCTTTTCACTCAAAGCCACCCACACATGGGGCTGGAGTAGAATTCAGCAACTGTGGGTGGCCCTGTCTGTGCATTCAGCAACCACTTCTGTCCACAGGAACCTTTTGAAAGCACCTTCAGCCACCCACCTGGGTCTCTGCTCGGCCATACCTCTGGGGAGAGTCATTAACTGTTCTCCCCTTTGCATGGAATGAGGTTCCTTCTTGAACTCTTGGTTCAGGGAAAGCCATCCCTGATCAGATTAAATCATCTATTATACACTCTCACAGCTCCTTTAGAGTAGCAGCTTCTCGCCTTGGTGGGTGTGTTCATTGCAGGCCCACACTTGAGAGTTCTGTGAAGATTTGATTAACCAAGTCATCCTCCAGTAAGTTCCACAAGAGAAAGGATCTCACCTGCTTTTTTCACCCCCACCCAGGAACTTGATAAATATTTGTCGAATGAATGAAATAAATGATTGACTGCACTAAAAATTCACAGTCGCTCACGCCTGTAATCCCAGCACTTTGGGAGGCCAAGGCAGGTGGATCACGAGGTCAGGAGATTGAGACCATCTTGGCTAACACGGTGAAACCTTGTCTCTACTAAAAATACAAAAAATTAGCCGGGTGTGGTGGCACATGCCTGTAGTCCCAGGTACTCTGGAGGCTGAGGTAGAAGAATCGCTTGAACCCAGGAGGCAGAGGTTGCAGTGAGCCAAGATTGCACCACTGTACTCCAGCCTGGGTGACAGAGTGAGACTCTGCCTCAAAAAAAAAAAAAAAAAAAAAAAATCAGTGTCTAAACGTTGGGTGCGGTGGCTCACACCTGTGATCCTAGCACTTTGGGAGGCTGAGGTGGGAGGATCACTTGAGGTCAGGAGTTCGAGACCAGCTTGGCCAACATGCTGAAACCCCATCTCTACTAAAAATACAAAAATTACCTGGGGGCATGGTGGCAGGCACCTGTAATCCCAGCTCTTCGGGAGGCTGAGGCAGGAGAGTTGCTTGAACCCGGGAGGCAGAGGTTGCAGTGAGCAGAGATAGCACCACTGCACTCCAGCCTAAGTGACAGAATGACACTCTGTCTCAAAAAAAAAAAAAAAAGAAAGAAAAAATAAATAAAAATTCCCAGTGTCTAACACTGCTAAGCCAGTCAGTGGTAGGTATCAGTGCCTCTATTTGTATATGTGCACCTAGTGCAGGGATGATTTCTAATCTTTTCTATCTGACTCAAGCCCCTGACCACACCTTTGCCCACTCACTCTTTGCTCCTGTTCTCAGCCCCCTACATTTTAAATAAGTTCAAGGTCATAAAAGCAAACTTCCTCAACTTCCCCTTCCGCTGGGTCTTCATCCATTGTCTCCTTCTTTCTGACACAGGGTGGAAACTGACCCTGTCTCTTGCCAAAGCCCATTCCCCCTACTCTGATTCTGTCCCTCCATCTTCCCTAGGCCCTTGCTGGCTCCTGCATCCCCTATTTTGACTCCTCTTCCTTCTTTTCTCTCTCTCCTTACAACTATGCTCAGGTGACTTCCATCTCCCATGACCCTTATAGTTTAGCTCTACGGCAGCGCCGTCCAACAGAACTTTCTGAGATAAGGGAAATGCTCTGCATCTGTGCTATCCAATATGGAGCCCACAGGAAGTTGCTGAGCACATGAAATATGGCTGACATGACTGAGGAAACATACTTTTAATTTTATTTGATTCTAACTTATTAAAATTAAAAGAGGCACATGTGACTGGTGCCCTCCATATTGGACAGCAGAGTTCTAAAATGTGAACTCTGAAGTCATGTTGCTTAGATTAAAATAAATTATAGTTTTGATCTCTGAATCATATGACCTTGGGCAACTTACTTAAGTTCTTGTAAGTATTCAACATTTTCATCTAAAGTTGTGATAGTAGTACTGAAGTATAGGGTTGTCATGAATGAGATAATTCATATCATTACATTTAACAAATAGTGTATACTCCTAGCATAAACACTCAAAATGTGCTTCTTGTACTTGTCATCATCATCATCATCATCTTTGTTATTCAGACATGTTCACATTGTTTTTTCAAACTTCAGCTCAAGATGCATTAACAATCAACAACATCAATTTAGTGGACTTTGGCTAGCATTTTTTAAAAAGACATATTTTATAATACAATAAGAAATATGAGTGCTTCTCATGTAGTAGACATAGATATGAAGTCATGAAATGTTTGTTTCTATCTATGGGTGAACTGTGTACCAGGTGTTGAAGTAAAATATATTTCTTACCATAGGTTGCATTTTCTAAAAATGTTGTGTTTCTCTAGAAGTGTTGTTTTAGAGTTTAGAAGGTCAAGACTATGTTCTAGAGGCCAAATCCAGTGGTCTCTTCTCAGTATCATCTTGATTTCTTGGTCCTATTTGGCACTGAGGTCCATCTTCCATTCGACTGAATTTCTTTCCTTCCTTGACTTACTTTGCTTACTTTTTCTTCTCTCCACCCAGTGTTTCTCCAAGGGTCACTTGGGTTCTTTTTTTTAAAAAGGAGTCTCACTTTGTTGCCCAGACTGGAGTGCAGTGGTTGGATTATGACTTACTGTAGCCTTGACCTCCCAGGCTCAAGCAATCCTCCTGCCTCAGCCTCCTGAGTAGCTTGGACTACAGGCACATGCCAACATGCCCAGCTAACTTTTAAAATGTTTGTAGAGACAGGGTCTCACTGTTTCCCAGGTTGGCCTCAAACTCCTGAGCTCAAGCCATCCTACTACCTTGGCCTCACAATCACCTGCTAGGATTACAGGCGTAAGCCACAGCACCCAGACCTCCAAGAACCATTGGTATCAAAATCAGTCTAGAGGTGTAAGAACATGTTTATTATTCAAGGTGGTCCTCCTGATTGTGTCTCCTGTCACCCTTGTGACCTCTCCTCCCACACTGAATTCAACTCATCTAGGTAAACAATAGGATTTTGCAGACATGACAAGTGTGACTTATGAGGCTTTGTCGTAAAAGATCTTGTGGTCTCTGCCTTACTTTCATGGATCACTTGCTCCTGGGGAGCCAGATGCCATGTTATGAGGACACTCATCTTCATTCAGATCCTTTACCCAAGTTAAGTCTTTAGATCACTGCAGCCCAGCCGACAACTTGACTGCAACCTCGCCAGAGGCCTGGAGCCAGATTCCTGATTTATAGAAACCATGAGATCAAAAATGTTTCCTTGTTTTTTAAGATGCTGAATTTGGGGGTAATTACATCAATAGAAAAGGAAGCAGGCATGTGCTTTAAGTTGCATGTCCCTAGACCCCATTCCAGGCCTACTGAATCTGGTTCCCCTAAGACAGCCTCAGGATGGCCTCACAGTCTGCATTAACATTTCTGGGTACTGTTTCTACTCTCTACAGTTTAAGACCCACTGCCCTTTTTTTTTTGTTTTCACTGACTATTCTCCCTCCCTCACTCCCTCCGTTTCTTCTTTCTCCTATAGCACAGGTCCCAAAAGTTCTCTCCAGGGCCTCCTCCCTTTTCATCGTGCACTCCTTATGCAAGTGCATCTATTCTGTGGCTTTAGCTGACAGCCTTGGAGCAGCTCAGGGACCTGCTTCTCTTCCTTGGAGCCCTCTACAAAGCTTATGAGACTGAGTTTCCAACCGCTTACTGGGTATCTCCATATGGACTTTTTTCTGGCAACTCAAACCCAACATTTCCAACACTGAATTCATAACCATCCTCACAAAATCTCCTTTTTTTGTTTGTATTCCCTGCTTTTATTAGCAGGTTTATAGCTCAGTCTCTTAAACTCTACGTCTTGATGTCATCTTTGCATTACCTTTTTCCCTCACCCTCAATACACAGGGGTCCCTGAGATCTTACCATTGCCCCTCTTCAGAACCTCCCTTGGCTGCTGCTATTGCTCTTGTTCATACCTCATTATCCCTTACCTGGATGGTTGGGAAGCTTCTTCATTGTCTCCTTGTCCTATTCTTTTCCCATCCAGACTTCATGCTTCCTAAAAGACTAGTATCTGGTTCAACTGATCATGATACTTCCTCACTCAAAATCCTTTGATGCAGTCTATCATTAATGGGCATTTGGGTTAATTCCATGTTGCTATTGTGAATAGTGCTGCAGTGAACATACGCGTGCATGTATCTTTGTAATAGAATGATTTATATTGCTTTGGGTTTACACCCAGTAATGAGATTGCTAGGTCAAATGGTATTTCTGGTTCTAGATCTTTGAGGAATCACCACACCATCTTCCACAATGGTTGAACTAATAGCATTCCTATTTACAGCCTCACCAGCATCTATGTGACACATATACATCATGGAATACTATGTGGCTATAAAGAGGAACAAGATCATGTCCTTTGCAGGGGCATGGATGGAGCTGGAAGCCATTATCCTCAGCAAACTAACATAGGAATGAAAACCAAACATCACATGTTCTCACTTATACATGGGAGCTGAACAATGAGAACACATGGACACAGGGAAAGGAACAACACACACTGGGGCCTGTCAGGGGTGGGGTGCTGGGGAAGGGGGAGCATTAGGAAAAATAGCTAATGTATGCCGGGCTTAATAACTAGGTGATGGGTTGATAGGTGCACCAAACTTGCCTATGTACCCTGAAACTTAAAAAAAATCACTTGATGGCTTCCCACTGCCTTTTGATAAAGTTCAATTTTTTTGTGTGACCCCAATAAGACGTTCTATCTGTATTTCTAACAACTACCTTGCAATCCACCCCTAAACACACATGCTCCCTAGGCGCAAAGGGTTGTCCACAATGTCCCAAGCATGCCTTGAAGTTTTCCAGATTTTTTTCATACTGTTATGATAACTATATAATTAAAATTCTCCCTTGAGAATAAAAAATCATGATATAAAGCCCATTGCAAAATTTACTTGCAACGCAATCTACAATGGTAGATGT